AGATCCTGTATTTATATTTAAAAATTTATTAAATATATATATAATTATTTAATTGCAGCCTAATAACTTATATGAAATATGAGTTCGGTGACAAATTCAGAACCGATACACCTCAAATACACGCACATACCATTGTAATTCCCATACACGCACATGTCTCTCTCTCACTTTGAGGGGACAGATGGCTGGGATTTTAGTAAAACATCAAAATCAATTAAAAGAACATAATATAGTCATCAGAATCATTCTTGATGCCTTCGCTTTCAACACTGTCTCTTCGCCACATGAAAATTTGTACAAAATTTTCCAAATAGGATATCAAGTCTTGAAAGGGTAGTAGGAGTTTAAGGTGCAAACTTTCTGCGGAGATGCAAATTGAATGAGCCACAACAAATCTTAGCTCGTGGAAACGTGTGCATGGCACGTGGAACTGTGTATTATCTACGTGGATGTTTAATTGCAACAACATTTTTTGTTGTAATATGTTGGTTGTCATTGCCGAAAAAAAAAATTCGCAACAAAAAATAAGTTGTTACACACTGTTGCAGCAAAATCCGATGCGAAAAATCTATGCAACAAAAACCAATGTTGTTGCCAAAAAGCTAAATTATCGCAACAAATCTTGTTGTTGCAATAAATTAGTTTTTGTTGTTATAAAGGCATATAATTGTGGTTTATAAAAATATTCAGCAACAACAATAATTGTTGCGACAAATCAATCATTTTTCCAACAATATAAGTTGTTGCAAAAAAAATGGCGGGAATTGCTAGTTAATTTGTTATCAAGAATTTCAGCAACAAGCGTTATTGTGGCAATACGTTACTTTGTGTCAACAACATTAATTGTTGCATATAAGTTTCGTGAAATATTTTTAGCAACAACTTATGAATTGTTGCTATATACATAATTCCTATATGCTTTTAGATTTTTAACAAATGTATATAAACTACTGAATATTATATATATGCAAAAGATCAATACATAAAGTTGTTGTACTAGATATTTACACCTTTCTAAAAATCTAAATACTTCTAAAAGTTTTTACTGAAAAGGATAAAAACACACGTGTCCTAGGTTGCTAAATTCTAATCTAATAGAACCCAAAAGACAAATCTTCCGACTTGTGCAGCACATGAACCAGATTGCAAGTAGCGTTGGTTTAAGCATCATCATCCTACAAAAAAATAATAATAATTAGACTTTGATTTAATATAGAGGGAACCAAAGAGGCTTATTTACATTAGACAGAATGGTAGGGGTAGAAATATTCAGCTAAAAAAAACATTATAACATAACCTCCAAGATATCATATCAAGTATCTACTCCAAAAAAAACTAAATAAAAATAGATTAGAAAATACTTCAGAAACTCCTTAACCTCATTAAACTAAAATGACTGCAAGAACTGAGGTACAACCAACTAAACATACAACACTCTTTTATGTGGTTTAGTAAGAGTATCAACTGAACAAACAAAAAGATGTCAAGTATTATCAACTATCCAAATAATGTCTATCCAAACACGAAAATAATGTGCATTTTATTATCACAATGGAGGGAGTATTTGACACCTGATACTAATGAAATGGAGGGAGTATTGAGGATTCAGGCACAACTTTCACATACATGAATCGTGGCGTTTTCAAGCATGTGCTTAGTGCATTTGTGAACCAAGTTAAAGGTATTTCAAGAACTGAAAATATTGAGAAATTAATAGGTTTAAGGCCATGTTTCAATATTTCTAGCCATAAAACAGTTTCTTTGCCAGAGCTCAAGTTTCATTTCAAAGGTGGTTCAGAGATGACATTGCCATTGGCAAATTACTTTTCCATTGCAGGAAAATGATGTGATTTGTTTAACTATGATCACTGATAGTGCTTTTAACCCGGAGTTGTCAACCGGACCATCGATAATTCTGGCGAATTTTCAGATGTAGAACTTCTTAGTGGAATTTGATCTCAGAAATGAAAAGTTTGGATTCAGGCATCAAGTGTGCAATTGAAAAGAACCTAAGGAGAATGCAAAGGTGAAAGTGTACTATACGGTATTGCTACACCTTAGCTAATAGTATTAAGTATCCCAATACATTACACAACTGCTCTACTTGTATACTAGATTAGTGTCACACCTCCTTTTTACCCCTCCAAGAGATAAGTGTAAAATGTTATGGATTGTGGGTTAAAGAGCTTTTCCAATTAAAGTGACAAATTTGAAATAGGGATTATTTTATTTAGAGAGTCGCCACTTGGAATTGATTTTTGATGGTATTCTTAGTCACCTTTATTTGAATCCCTATTCAAAGGAAGGTTTGACTCTATTATTATTGGTTTGCGAAAACAAAGTCCGGGTAAGAAATTCTGTTGACCGGAGAGAAGGTGTAAGACATTCTCTGAGTCCCGTGGTTCTAGCACAGTCGCTTTATTGACTACATTTGGCTTGAATTAAACTTGGATAAACTGTGATTTATTTGATTTTTATGCTTTTCTTATGTCCGTTTTTATTTATTTTTAAAAAAAAATTAAAGAAAAGATTTGAATAATAATCTACAACTTAACTAATGAGAGAAAATTATTGTTATGAGTACTAATTTAAAAGATGAGACTAATGAGAGAAAATTATTAATTGACATTGCTTAAAACTAGTAAAATGTGGCTTGTCTTGACATTGAATGAGGCAGCCCACTATTGGGTTGATGGAGTCAAATGAGCTTATGTCCAAGACAAAATCCAAAAGCCCATATACTTTTAGACTTTAAATCTGCAGATATGGCTTTTTAAAGCTATGTTATAGATTTGGCCCTATCTTGCTATTTGCAATCCGTAGCTAACTATTTACAAAAATAAGTTTACAGATTGTCTTTCTAATCTACAACTTAACTACCTTACTAAATAAGTATTTTTTAAGAGATAAAAAAAATTATTGGGACTCTAAAATATAATAATAATAATAATAATAATAATAATAATAATAATAATAATAATAATAATAATAATAATAATAATAATAATAATAATAATAATAATAACTTAGCTTGGTGACAACAAAGGGACAAACATGGCTACAAGGGTTCAAATTTTAATATATATGCTCCTTTCAGACAACCAAATGCCAGTGGAATTATATCTAATGCTTTGCAAAAATAAAAATAATTAAAGATGCTTAACACAATTTAATTAACTAACATATCGTTATAACATTATCAAACATTCAAGAGCATATAAAAATGAATTAGAATAGAAGGATGAAGCTACGAATATTTCCCAGCGTCATTATCTTTCATTCCAACTCGATTTTATGAGTTTACATGGTCCGAAAATTACCTGGACAGCAGAAAGAAGAACAAATACAGCAGAGTCAGCTCTTTCCAAAATCAACAGCAAAACAATTAAACGGGCAGCAACAACAGCAAAAGACAGCGACAACCGGCAGATTCAAACCCAAGAAAATTAACTAGAAATACCCCAGCAAAACAGTACAATTATGTAACTCCAGAAAAAATCTTTCAAGACTACTCTATTTTCCTTAAACAAGTTTTTCACTTAAGAATCAACTCACAAAAGCTGCTAAGGGATATTATAGCTACTGATTTTTTTTCTCTTTTTTGTGTGTCCAAAGCAAAAAAGCTCTCCCCAAATGTGATGGAGTCCCCCATATATATCAAAACAATCAGCTATTTCAAAAAATTAAAAATCAATCTTCTTGACAGATTTTTCTACAAAATCTGCTCTTAAATTCAAAAGGCCAGACTTTTTGGTTCAAATCTTGTCAAGTATTTCAAACAAATCTGCTCTCCACTATTCAAAGACAGACTTTTATTCAAACACTGTCCAAAGATCTACATTTTCTTACCAAACAATTTGACTTTTGAGTGTTGTACTCATAGAGTCTTCAGCAGCAAATAAACAACCCAACAAGTACCATATACTCTTAAGTATTTTTCACTACCTCACTTTTATCAATACAAAACTATTTTACTACTTCAACAAGTGCAAAAGCAGAAAATTTAACATTCAAACTTCAAAAACTAATGCTAAAATAATTAATAATAGACAAAATAAAAATCTGAAAAAAATAAAAATAAAATAAAAAAATCAGCCACGAAAAATAATAGGATTTTTACCATTTTATAATTCAAGTGGCCGAAAAAATGGTGGTATGCCAAAAGAGGGTGTTCGGGGAGGTCGCCGGAATTTGGCCGGATTTTGATCGCCGGATTTTCAGGGTGAAATTGGCATCAATAGCTAGGTCTTGAGGAGCCCTATCCATTGATGTAAGTATTGTGGGATGGTAGTGGTTGGAGCTTCAAGAATTTGGGAAAAAAAGTGACGGGACAGTTTCCTAGATCTAAGATTCAAGGAATTTGAGGGATTTTTGAAGGATTTGGTTTGGAGATATGGAAGGAGGAAGTTGTGGAGATTACATGATGTGAATTTGGAGGTGTTTGGAGGTGGTCCGCCGGCGGCGGTGGGCGGAGCTGGGGCGGCGTAGAGAGGGTGAAGAGAGAGAAGAGAGAAGAAGGAGAAAAGAATTATGGGTGAAAATGAGGACAATTTTCAGATTTTTGAGGCTTTAATACCTAAGCCAAGAGTGAATGAGATCCACTGGGTCAAGATGGAATGGATGAGTATGATTTGATCTTGTTTCATTTAGTGAAACGACGTAAACTACGTAGTTTCATACCCTTTCAATGACAGTCTTTTATCTTGCACTCTTGGACACTTTTTCTTTCAAATTTGGCCAAATTTCTTCCTTAATCCTACTTATTAAACTAATTTTACACAAATAAATTAATTAAATAACTTATTCTAATAATCAATTAACTAGATTAATTTACCAACTGAACAGCTAGTTAATTCTTAAAATGCACAAATGAAGAAAGAACTATTTTTTGTAGTATTTTATGATAGGAAATATGCAATTAAAGTCACAAAAATTGAGAAAAATAATTAAAATAATAAAACACTAATGACTTTAGGAGATGTTAAAATAGTGTAAAAATTAGGTGTTCACAATCAGTAGAACCCAACCCAATCAAGTATTAAAGGTAAGATTTACAATCTCGTGGTTTCCCCCAACAAGGACGGAGAATTTCTGACCTCAACATAAAACCTCACATTTACCAATCTGTCAAAGCTCCAAAGTGAAAAACACTATATAGAACAAACATTAAATCGAGATACAACAGATAAAACTGAATAATGAATTTAGAAATTATACATGTCAAAGTTTTAAGCCATTCATCATAAAAAGCATGAAGAGATATCTCCATTAGTATACCAGTTAACAGAGAAAGGATACAAGATTCATCACACCATTCATATAATTTAGATAAATACATCTCCAAGAAACTCGAGAACATTTTGATGTTATATCATACAATCAGTTGATAACTAATATTTAGGAAATGTAATATGATCTCTATTTTGTTTGTATATCTGAGCAAACCTTGACCAGTCTTAAACATACAAACACATTTTTTTCAGTTACATCTTTTTCAGTCTTAAACCTTGACAACTAAACATTTACCATGCATGCTGGCCAAATATTTAGATCAAATCATGAGGAAAAGTGTTATAGAGTTGGAGAGAATTTTCTTGAAAGTGGAGTATATAATTGCATATTTTATGTTATTCTTCTACTAATTGAAACCAAGTTTTCCTTTTTCTTTTTCCTTGTTTCCTTTTCTGGGGGTCTTCTCTTCAGTTGGAAAGTTTAAACTAGGAAGTTAATGGAACGGAATATGAACTGAGATCCCGTTTATTCCAAAACCTGAGTATGAATTACTGATTTTATTCACTTTACTTTGACTAAAAAATAAGTTTTTCTATTTTTAGCAGATGCATATATAGGACCTGATCCCTATAACAATAAGTAGGGCTCCAACAAAATACTTCACTATTTAACAAGTTAGTTACTCGTACAAAGATATAATTGGATTTGCTTACTAATTGGTTAACGTTTCCTTTTAATTCTTCAATTTATTGCTCCTCTTTTAATTTCCCTTTGGCTCGTACTTCTGGTCTGGGCTGATCATAAATAAATAATTGTGTACTCTAATCTTCGATGCCATTAAATTCGTTTCCTGAATATAAAACAGTAAAGATCATGTGGGGTGGAGTTTTCCAGATATTGTGATATATATTTTTCCAGAGTTTTTTAGTTGAAATTTATCAAATAATTACTTAGGATGAAAGATGGTTATTGAAGTACAGGCATTCATGAATTAACACAATTCTTTCCAGTGCTCTTGTTCCTTCTAAGATGTATCTACTTATGTCAGGCGCGATAAGAAATTTACTTTTACATGACTTAGGTGGAGTTTACTTACCATGATATCATCCATAGGATTTGCAGGACTTGCCTCATCTGAACCACTTAAATTTGTAATAATATGAAAATGCAGCAGGAAGCCGAGTCTGTTAAACAGAGCACAAATAAAGATCTTAAATATGAAAGTACCAAGGATGAAACTATTTTGTAATATCAAAAAGACTGAAAAGTTTTATTTTCCAGAACAATAGCAAAGAATTATTGGAAAGCACTGAGTACTACAAGTGCAATTAATAGGTTAGTTAACAAATTTAAAGAATCTTTGCAGCTTAAGGGTACTAATATAACCAAACTCGGGTGGAATTCCACCTTCATAACTATTAAAATAACCTAACCTAAGTTCAAGATTTGGAAGAAAAGCCACACTCTGGCATTTTTCCAGTAAGTGAGTTACCCTCTAAACCCAACCACAGTGAACTTTCAATGTGAGATTAAAACTGTTATTCGAGAGATTAACGTATTTGATAGAAGAAAGCTTGGATATATCTAAAGGGTGTGTACTAATTAAGTTATCTCCAAACACAATAAGGTTTTCAAGTTTGTCTAAAAGACCAATTTCAGGTGGAATGATACCAAACAGAGGAACATTAGAAATGTTCAAAGATATAACACGTAAATCATTGTTACATGCTACAACTTTTGATTTAGCTCAAAAGATTTCTAAAATAACTATTTGGTCTTCATAAGGAACCTACAGAAACTTTAGTGCTTATACTAATACCTGGGAACTTTGTATAATGGATGCAAGTCCTAACATGCCCTCTTTTAACATTTTCTGCTCACGTCCTACGCGGACTTCCACGAATCCTACATGAGCTTTCATGACTTCTAGATTTTTTCGCTCCTCCTCAAGTTGCTCTTGCACTTTTTTAAGTTTAGATTCTACACTCTCTCATTTATGACGTTCTTCTTCCACCTCTTTTTTTGTGCTTGCAGTTGCTCTTGAAGACCTTGCATGGATCACTTATTTGTTAGCTTAAGTCCCGATCCTTGGCCGCGGTAATAGCCTGACTTTTCTCCAACAATTTTCATAAAGGACGCATTAACAATAGGGTCCATATCATCAGTACCCTCTTCGATTTCTTGAATTTGCTCTGCAACCAATTCATTCACTTTATCCTACAAACAGGACATACAAGCTTTAACTTTCAATATTTGTTTCAATAAACTCATATCATAGGATTAAAGATTAGAGTTTTGTAAATACATTCAATTCAGCAGCGACATCGTTGACCAAATGACCATTTTTCATGTGAATTTTCTACCAAAGTTTTTGAAAGTTTGGCTCTTTTCCGGTGATTACATCTCTCTAACAAATTAAATCAAATTATGTTATTGAAGAAAGAATTACTAAATTCATTAAATAAGACATATCTCACCTTTTTAAAAGAGATTGCCCCGAAGGATTTTCTACCGCAAATATGATTGATTCCTTGTTTTGCTTTGTTTATTTTGTTTCTAGCACTCATTCTCTGCATTGAATATGAATTTATGATATATCCTATAATTCAAGTATAAAAAGTAAAATAAGAAATAAACAAGACTTTGGATCTGGTCATGAGAATTTAAGTTCCATTTCATAGGTTGCTTTCTTAGTTTTTTGTAACTTCCCTAGTTGACGTAGACATTTTTCAGAATTCTTTTAGCTAAATAATAGCTTTTGTGCATATTTCATTTAATTACCTTGAAAGGATCAGAGTCGAAATAGTCCACCAAGAGTTTCCATTCAACTTCAGTGACATCTTCTCCTATGTTTTGCAATCGTTCCTCCTTTGTAGCAAATTTCTTAAAATGATCATGGAGCCTACTACGACGATATCGATACGAATTATTACCTGTATGAAGGATAATATCCCTAGTATGTTGCGTATCTGGAATTTCAAAGGCGTCCTGCACTCAAATCAAAAAATTAGAAGTGATAGCTTTGTCACATAAGACTCTACTAGCAACTGAATAGATTTGTATGTGGAACCTATAATAAAGGATTTCAAAGCTGGAACCATTAGATTAAAATATGCCTACTGTTCTTTATACATACTACTACTACAATGGGCAAATGTTACTAAATATGTCATTTGGTTGAATACTACTCATTCAAGAACAAAAAACTATGAACTTAAGATATACAAAGAGAATTACCAGCATATGAGCAACAATCCTTTCTTTTGCTAGATCAGAAACTTTCTTCCAAGTTTTGACATCATGCTTAGCATTCTGGTCAATTGTAACTGAAAGCTTGGTAACAAAATTACTAGCTCCCGGACCAACTGCTACTGTTCGATCGGGTGGGATAATCACCTCTAGCTTTCCATTGGGATTATTTTTGCGTTTCTTTTGGATTGAAAACCCTCTAGTCTTCCCCCTTCTTTTTCTCATTTGTCCTTAGCAATACATACAACAACAACCCAGTATAATCCCACTTAGTGGGGTCTGGGGAGGGTAGTGTGTACGCAGACCTTACCCCTACCTGAGGTAGAGAGGCTGTTTCCAAATAGACCCCCGACATCCTTCCCTCCAAGAACTTCCCACCTTACTCTTGGGGAGACTCGAACTCACAACCTCTTGGTTGGAAGTGGAGGTTGCTTACCATCAGAGCAACCCCTCTTGTCAAAAGACTGTAGAAAACTTCAACATCAATTCATCACTAAGAAAAATACTCTACAGAAAGGAAATAGATGTATCGACCTTAGGCATGGTATTTTTCATATGAAGTCCTTACAAACTTCAACTTCCAAATTAATTACAATTTACAAATAATATAAAGATGTGATCTCTAATCCACAAATAGATGGAGAACAATTTCTTTTCCTCTACAAAATGAATGTTTATACAATAAATAGCAACTAACAACCTACTGTATCTTCTACTTGAAATGCATGAGAAAATTTAAAAGATTAGTAGTTCAAAAAAGTTATGATTTAAAGATTATCATACTTCACTCAAAGTGACTAAAAACAAATCAATTACTCAAATGATTAAAACCTACTATTTATAAGAATTTATTACCAAATTTGAAGGCATAGAAAGTCTATTTCTACTAAGTTATATAAGCATGATATTTTTCAAAGCTACTTTTTACTAAATGAATCAACTCACGTGGTTGTGGGTTTGAAATTACTCCAGAAGATTCAACACTAGCAGAAACATGCGTGTTTGTCATCCTGATAATCTGCAAACATAATAAAAAGAATTATACTGGAACTAGTTGAAAGTAGAAGTGAAGGCAGAACATTGCACATATTGTCAATCAGAAAATAATTTATCCAAAAACATAACTATAGATTAAGGAGCACGTGTCCTTTGGGAAAGACATCACTTAATAGTTTTAACAAAGAGTCTAATGAAGTATTACTCCAACCATGCAAGCACTTCATTTGAAAAAGACGCATTATAAAAGAGAGCTTCGAGAACTTTTCACAATCTGGATATAACTTCTGCTTTGCATCCTTTAACAACCGATAAAAACTCTTAGCTTCTGCATTAGGTTCTTCATATCTAGACTCAGCCGGCTCATCAGAAGGATCATGAGTTATATTATCTATAGGAACACTGTGATACATGTCATGCAACATCTCGAAAGTGGCATCATCATCATTTTCTAAATCTGAATTTGTATTAGAATTTATTTCATCATCTGAAGATGAATCTGACTTACCATGATGAATCCACCTATTATATGTTGGATCTATACCCCACCTAAGTAAATCTATTTTCACTTCTTCTCGTGTTTTCCTACGCACATGGTTACAGTTAGTGCACGGATATTGAATTCTTAAACCAACATTAGGATTCGAAAATGCAAAGTTTAAAAATTGTTCCATGCCATTCAAGTATTCTACGAATGCCCTATTCCTAAGAAGTATCCAACTTTTATCCATCATATAATAACCTACAAAAATATAAAATATTAACTGTCCCTCAAATTTTTGCTGTCAATTTAGCAAAAAAATAAATAAGGAAAGGTCAGAAAAAGACTTTATACTAAAATACAATAAAAATAACAGCATATAAATTGAACGAATAGTGATACAAGTGAAGGAACACACTATAGATAAATAGTAATCAGCAAGACTCACCAGAATTTGTAGACGAGAAATAATGAAGCAAAGAGTAAACCAGAACCAATTGCTTAGAGCTGTAGAATAATAAAGGAGAAAACCTTTCTAGAATGGTAACTGAAATAGGCTTAGGATTAAGGAAAAGATAATTAAAAGGAAGAAACTGGTTTGCCCCTTTTCTTTGGGTGGAAAGTTGAAAAATACTAAGCTAAATCTTAGGCCACTAACCAAACCTGTTGAGAAAATTAAGGCGTGAACAAAACTTGTTGAGACAATTAAGGGTTCTACCAAATATAAATTATTGCTAATTTATTATATTTTAAAACAACTATGTTTTCAAATAAAATATGGCATCAACAAAAAAACTTACCCAAAGCAACTAAAATAGTGGGCTAAAAATCCGAAAAAAGTGATTAACAAGAGAAAATTTTGGCGCATTTGATTTTGGCGGAAACTTGGAAAATAATTAGCTAAGTTTTAGGCCACAACCCACCTATTTTGTAGGCAAAAATAAAGTGTATTGCCAACAATACAAATTTACTGTTGCCAATATCAAAGCAAAATCTCATTAATTTATTTTAAGCCATATTTACATCTGTAATTAATGAGGAAATTAGAGAACTAAATTTCAGCTGCTATTCTAGAAAAATTGATGAAAAACGTACATTTTTGCGGCGAGCAGGGTCAATGTTTATATCGAAGCTCCTTTTCTTACAATTTTTGTCAAAATCTTCCTCTAGTTATCTTCAAAAATTTCAAATTCATGGTTGATGAATTAGTTGGATTCGTCTTTGACAAAAAAGAATTTTGAAAGAGTAATGGTGTCATCGAATTGGAAAATGTTGGGAAGTAGTCTTTGAAGCAGCGAGCAATTGACATTTCAATTAAAATGTGAAGGAATTGAATAAAGCCAAGTACACAGTACAATTGACATTGCTTTTGGTACAACTGTTCAATGCAGTGATTGGTAACAATGAATCAGACGTTGCTAAAAGTTCTATGATAATAGCAACACTTTTTTAAAGTTGTCACTTATTACAATAACCCAACAACACTGTAATTGTTGCAAAAAGTTGTTGCCAACTTTTTAATTTAAAATTAATTATCTAAATAACGGAATATAGCAACAATATCATAATATTTGCTAACAAGAAAAATTTTGTGGTTAAAAATTATATGATTTAGCAACAACTTTATGAGGTTGTTGCTATTTGTTCATTTTTGCCAACAATACTATAGTTGCTAAAAAATTGTTGCAAATTCCTTACTTTTTTGTAATAGTGTTACTGTGGTTCACGTGAAACCATTAGTTTCTATCTCAAACTCCGTAAATACATCAAGAAATTCACCGTTTATGAATATTAGCTTATAAATTCGAGTATTATTGTATATTATCTTAATATTACTATAAAAACCCATAAATTTCAAATTTTGAATCCGTCTTTACTAACATACCACCTAGACAAGGTTACACTTCAGAGCGTATATTTCTTGTAGTGGTTATTAAGAAGATGAAGGATTGAATTAATTAGCTAAACTATTCTGCTGCTAATAAATGATAAACAAGAATACACCTAATCTACTAGGAAAGATTAAGACACACCACACAAACTTAATCTTGAGTGATGGTGAAATAAAGGTATCGTTGAGCTATAATTTGACAGCCAACTCTATATAATAAAATCTGCGCGTCACAAGGCAATAGTTGTTTATATTTCACTTATGAATACACATAATTAAAATAACAATTAACTATTCTTTTCCCGCTTAATAACGTAAAGTCGAAATTAATATGTCAAAAAAGAAGGTACATTTAATAAGCTAATGATCTCAGAGTAATGCAGACCTCAGCCGCAAAAAGTTTCAACTAGCATATAACCCTATTATATTTCTAAGAAAAAGATTATGAATAATTAAAACCAAGGCTCCTAATTCTTCACCATGTACAAATAAGTTGTTGTGAGTTTGATCAAATACGCTGTATCTACTCTAGATTTGCCACTACCAAGAATCTCCGTTGAATTTATGCAGCTGAAGCATAATCATAATCTCCATCATCGTCGTCAGCATCGCCTTCTAAGGATGCTGCAGGAGCATAGTCATAGTCTCCATCATCGTCATCACCACCTCCCTCTAAGCATGCTGCTGGAGCATAGTCATAGCCGTCATTTCCGTCATTGTCTCCATCTAAACACGATCTTCTCTTCTCGAATCCAATAATCTTGAAAATGTTAGACATTGTGTCTTTCTTCTTAATTGGACTGTAGGAATATGGAAATATGAGATATCGGGCGTTGTATCTCTTTGATAAGATGTGAAGTATGGTTTTTGTGGTGTGTATGATAGGTGAAGAAATCAGTTGCTTAGCTTATATAAAGGTAAGAGCCAAGTCTGGAGTACTCGTTTTGATGGAGTTTGGCACGTTAGAAAGTGTGTTATGTTAGTTGAAGAATGTGCAGAGCCATAAGCTTGGCTGCATTTAAGCTACTTTTCACTTTACATGTCATGCATCAACTGTTAACCGTGACATATATTCTCCAACTTGGTGCAAATAAAACTCTCTCTAATTTATCTTCTATCTCTCTCTCTAGCTTTTTGGTGTGTATTTCAGTAAACCTTGAAAATGCATTGGAAGAAAGGGAGACCTGGACAATGATAAAGTTGTCTCCGTGTGATTTAGAGGTCACACGTACGAGCTGTGGAATTAGCCATTAATGCTTGCAATAGAGTAACTAAGCTGCCTCCAACACACCCACAAAAATAACCTAATAAAGAATAGACATGGCTTCGACATGACCATTCTTCGTTTTCTGGCTTTTTAAGGCCAAAAAACTAGAATTCGGGCCAATTTAAAATTTTCACGTGGTATAGTCTACGCCATCTGTATGAATTCGGGCAGCCGAATCCGAATAACCTAAAATTTTGCGGGGCAATAAAAATGACTTAATGAGAAATAGTCATGGTTTCGGCATGACTGTTCCTCGTTTTTTGGCATTTAAGGCAAAGAAACTAAAATTCTAGTTCATTTCCAAATTTTCATGTGCTATTATCCACGCAATCTGCATGAATCCGGGCTATCAGATCCAAATCGTCTAAAATTTTGCGGGGCCATAGAAATTGACCCAATAAACAATAGTCATAGCTTTGGCATGACTGTTCCTTATTTTTTGGCCTTTTAGGGCTAAAAACTGAAATTTGAGTTAATTTTTAAATTTTCGTGTGCTATAATCCACGCCATCTGCATAAATCCACGTAAATTGAAAGAGAACGAGTATGATATATCGTATAATTAGTTTATGTCATGTGCGTGTTATAGTAGTTTGTGCTATTTGATGACATGAAATAAAGATGCATTAATTAGTGGGTAAATCAAAAGCTCGTGAAATGCCGGCCATGACAGTTAGGATATAGTCTAGCTAAGGTTTGAAGTAGTTTTAATTAAAAGGTTTGAACTTATAAAATGTATCCACAATATTAGTTGTATTGGATTTATCTTTTTATCACCTTGAGAATTTGGTATAGACTATACACTGATTATGTACTATTATACACCTATTAATTATAAATTATACATATAAATATATGCCGGCTATTTTTAGTTTAAACTACTGAGTGAGCGGCTAATTAGGTTAATTCTTCGTGTTTTTAAAGCTTGAATTTGGTGAAGGAATTCATTGATATGTAAGTGAAAAACTCGGATTTAATTTTTCACCCTTAAAATTCGAGTATATGGCGTTTTAATTAGCTGGTGAATGTGTTGCAAATTGCTAATGGACACTGGATCTTATGATTAGTATGATCTCTATACCTTTCATTTTAAGAATTAACATACATGCATTTGCTAGCAGACAGAGAAAGGTGTAAATAATCATGTGATTAATATTTATGGAATATGAATACGATCACATCATCAAGTAAGACTACGTTTAACTACAATCCATGTCACTTTTCTACATAAGTTATTCAAATTAATATTGTCAAAAAAAAAAAAGGATACTTAATCTAATAAGCTAATGATCTTCTTAGAGTAGTGCAGACCTCAGCCGCAAAAAAGTTTCAACTTGTATAAAAACCAATTAGGACTAATTAAAACCAAGGTTCCTACTTCTTCACCATGTATGGATTAGCTGTTGTGTGAGTTTGACAAAGCATGCTATGTCTACTCTAGATCTGCCATTGTCAAGATTATCTCCATTGAATTCATGCTGCAGGAGCATAGTCATAATCTCCATCATCGTCATCGGCATCACTTTCCACGGATGCTGCAGGAGCATAGTCATAGTCTCCATCATCGTCGTCACCATCTCCCTCTAAGCATGCTGTGGGAGCATAATCATACCCGTCATCACCATCATCATCTCCATCTAAACACGGTCTTCTCTTCTCGAACCCAATAATCTTGAAAATGCAAGACATTGTATCTTTCTTCGGACTATAGAAAAAGATTGAAATATGAGATATTGTGTGTGGTACCTAGCTCTTTGATTAAATATGAAGACAATGTTTTTGTGGTGTGTATGATTGGTGAGGAAACCATTTGCTTATATAAAGGTACGAGCCAATTCTGGACTCGTTTGAACGCAGGTTGGCACGTTAAGAAGTGTGTTGTGTTACTTAAAGAATGTGCAAAACCATAAGCTTGGCTGCATTTAACCTACTTTTGGGGAAATTCACTTTACATGTCATATCCATCAAATATGATGAGTACTACTTTCTCCATCCTGATGGAAATAGAATCTCTCTCTAACTTTGTGGGGGTGGATTTTAATACAATCAAATTCCATTAATAGAAAGGAGCCTTAGAATAATAGTGAAGTTGTTGTCGTGAGACTTAATTATAATCAGTGGCGAAATCAGAAAATTCCCAAAAATATTCAAAGTTGAAAGAAGTAAAAAATTATCCTTACAAAAGTTGTTCAGTATATGTTATATACATCTAAAATCTAATATTTTACTTCTATACACAAAGTAATTTTTCTTAATATTTCGACGAAAGGTCAATTGACCACCTTCAGTAAAAGGTGGTTTCGCCCCTGCTTATAGGTCACGAGTTTGAAATGCATTAGGATAAGCTGCTACATCACACCCCCTCATTGGGGTGTGACCCATCCCCGAACACCGCACGTTAATAAGAAGTGTGTTGTATTGGCTGAAGAATGTGCAGAGCCATAAGCTTGGCTGCATTTTAGGTGCCACATCCAAAATTCACTTTAGACAAGAGGGGTTGCTATGATGGTAAGCAACTTTCAACCGAGAGATTGTGAGTTCGAGTCTCCCCAAGAGCAAGGTGGGAAGTTCTTGGAGGGAAGGATGCCGGGAGTCTATTTGGAAACAGTCTCTCTACCCTAGGGTAGGGGTAAGATCTGCGCACACACTACCCTCCCCAGACCCCACCAAGTGGGATTATACTGGGTTGTTGTTGTTGATCCAAAAT